TAACCCACATTTCCTCTGAGTCAGCAGGATTCGGACAAACTTCAAATAGAGTATGGCCAGCTTAGCTTTAGAGAGAGGAAAAGGGGAGGAAGAAAGAGACAGAGTAACAGACTATCTATACTTTTCTTACCTTCACAAAGCTGAAAAACATTTCCTTTAAATGTCATCTGTATTTACTGATGCAATGAAGAGAAATGATCTTGGTCACATGTGTCTGTAAATCATGATGTGACTATATCATGACTCATAATACAAACATACTTTTCTCATCTATTATCTGATGGAAGATACAATGTGTGATTTACAGTCATTGTCAAACGTTTTCTATATGTTTATACTTTAAAACTGATTTCATTACAGTTTCCAGTTTGGGGATCTTAGTCATTGTATTTATTATTTTCATAATAAAGCGTTATCCGAGGCTTTGTCATGGCTGTGTATAAATACCAGAGTGACCTGTCTCCTTTGTGAGTCCTGGTATTCTCAGATGGAATCCGCCATCTATATAAGAACTATTTATACTGTTTAAATGTAAATGTGACCATTGTTCTTAGGTACATAGGGTTATGTAGGTTATAGAGGTTATGTTGTTTGTTGTGTCAAGGCTACCTATTCATTATGAATGGTCAGCCAATACACCGCAGAAGCCCCAAAATTGTACCTGACATTTTTTGCAATGCTCCCCAATGCACAGGATGTTGTGGTAGCTGCAGTGCAGATACCTTGGTTGCTACTATAACAAATCGTTGAAGTTCTATTCAAAATACATGGCACCACAACGCACCCCACCATAGTGCATGCGTTGCAGTAACACACTGATGTGAATGGGCCCCACACACCAGAAAATACTGAACAAAACAAATTTCAGAAGTCCTTATCTGCATTCTTGTTCCAGATTAGTGACTCAATGTATTGAAGCAAGAGAATTGACAGAACAGCTAGGCAATCAGCAAAAGAAGAGGTCAGCAAGGACAACTTCTGTTCCTCTTATGACACATTTCCTTGTAAAGCAAATCTATGAATAAGCTTAACTCTACAATAATTAACGATACACATTGCACTCTCTGAGTAGCTTATCCTGTACTGGATGTTCTCTCTCAAAGTCATTTAGCAAGGGTGCTGGTTGCACTACCTAACATCCTCATAGCCAATGCATTTGAAATGTGATTATGAAATTATATGCAAACAGCAGACAAGAAAAAATGTAAAAGTCATTTCAAAATTTACATATGGGTAAACTTAATATTATTAATCTAAAATGTCTGTATATGCTACCCTTTCCCTATGTATATAACAATAGAGGTTACGTTAGAAGGATCGTCCCTATAATAAGGCAGCCTGAGATGACCCATCGCTTGGGTCAAGTAAAGGGGCGTCCAGCTCCTGGCAGTGACCTGGGTGGGACACCCTGCACCACATTCCCCCCTTCCCCAGGACATGCATCAAAAGCACCCTTTCCCCAGGCGGCGAGATGTCTAGGGACAGCACTGTATGTTAGTTGCCTGTTATGGCTAGCTACCTGCTTCTTGTTGAGACCTGTGATTATAGAGACTTCCACTTTCTTTGTGGCACTAAGAAGTCACATGACTAAATGCCAAGAGCTGCAAAGAAAGAAGACGGTGAAAGATGTGAAAAGGTGTGTCACAATGAACTATGTCCGTTAGGAACACCCACCTTTCACTTTGCCTATCAATCCATGAGGTGCCATGGAACACTTTGGGTGGTACACTTTCTTTAGCCTGTAGAAATTTGTCTCTTCCGTGAAAAGGGCCACTTTGTTGTATTTGCCCCTAGGCCAATGGTTCTCATTCCTCCCCTGATGTTATCCCATAAAGTATTGTAGTACAGTTTAGTATTCATAAGCTCCTCACTCACCGGACACCTTCATTGAGGTTGTAGAGTTCATGATCCTGAAGGCCTTTCTTCTGAAACACGGATATCACTCCATTGTGGATGCTGAAAAGAAGCACAAGGCATGAGAACAAATTCTACCAACATTTTAATTGTAAAGACATTTATCACAGCTGCTTGAAATACATTGGGGCGAATTTATCAAAACTAGAGCAGACAGAATCTGGAGCAACCAATCAGCTTCTCTTTTCAGTTTGTTCACTTAAGTTTTTAAAATGAAATGTAGAGGCTGACTGGTTGTCATGTGCAACTGTGCCAGATTCTGTCTGCTCTGGTTTTATTCCTCATCTTGTTTTATTTTATATTTGATTAAAACCTTCATGAAGCCAAAGTCATCAAATAAAATCATATTGTAAAATGCTTGGCTGGTATGTGATTCCCCAATACATATCTGCGAGTCTGGTTTTGGCATTACACAGTGATAGGTTACATTTAATGATTTTGTAACTCCAGCTATAATAGAAATATATTTATATAGATCTACACTCCTCTGTGGGTCAGTTGATAACCTCCCATGGCTTCCGTTACCATCTCTATGCTGACCACACCCAAATATAACTCTCTACCCCTCAGCTCATTGACCTATCGACATGGATGTCACACCGCTTCCTCAAACTAAATCTGTCCAAAACTGAGCTTAAAATATTTCCTCCTGTCTGTGTCCCCTCCCCTGACTTCTCCATCATAATCAACAGCACCACAATTAGCCCCTCCCATCAAGCCAGGGTGCTTGCAGTAATCCTTGACTCTGAGCTCTCCTTTCAGCCCCACATCCAATCACTATCCAAATCTTGCCGACTTAACCTTCGTAACATTTCCAAAATTCGTCCCTTCTAAACAAATGATAGCGCAAAGCTTCTAATTCACTCTCTTGCGATAGCTTGCCTTGACTACTGCAGCTCCCCCCTTGTTGGCCTACCACTCAGCAGGTTATCCCCCCTTCAGTCCATTATCAACGCTGCTGCCAGATTCATCCACCTTACCAACCAATCAGTGTCCGCCACTCCCCTCTGCCAATCACTCCACTGGCTCCCAATTCCACAACATATAAAAATCAAATACTAATAATAACCTACAAAGCCACCTACCACTCCGCCCCAACCTACATCACCCACCTCATCTCAAAATATCACCCAAACCGACCCCTTCGCTCTTCCCAAGACCTCCTGCTCCCCAGCTCTCTTGTCACCTCCTCACATGCTCGCCTCCAGGACTTTTCCAGAGTGTCTCCTATTCTCTGGAACACCCTAACCTGACCAGTCTGCTTATCTCCTACCTTGTCCACCTTTAGGCGATCCTTGAAAACTCATTTCTTCAGAGAGGCCTATTCCACCTCAATATAACAGTACTTTCAATTATTTTATTAAATCATCCCACACAATTATTACCTTTTGTATCACTTGCCCCTCCTAATAGATTGTAAGCTCTCATGAGCAGGGCCCTCCTACCTTCTGTACTGAAATTGTATTGTTACCCTCAATTTTGTAAAGTGCTGCACAAGCTGTTGGCGCTATATAAATCCTGTATAATAATATATAATATAAATCTATATATATATATTTATAGAACATGGCTACACTTATGTATCAGATAATAACAATCATTTTGATACCAGGCATGTCTATACTATTATCTACAGCAGGCAGAATGAGAACCTTACATCTCCTATGGGATTTTCGAGTCTAATTTAATTTGTGTTTGGTCTCTATCAAATCTTGGTTTTATTTTGAGTAAGAATATGTTGATTGTCAGGCTGTAAAACATGGCTATTTGGAAATAGTGATGCCTTAGCTTCTGTAAAGAAGGCTACGATATTTTAAACTCTGTTACATTCCTGTCTGGTGAGACTTTCGTCTATCACAGACATTTCTTAGGTTCAGAATTGTTACAGCAGAGTCTGTGCATGGTGTAGGTTTCCATTAAAACACATGGTAGCAGCTATTGTCCCTTTGTAGTGTAGTAGTATGAGGTATAAATCATATAGTGAAAAAGAGCAAATCCGGATGGTGCAGAAAGGGACACTACAAAAGTGTAATTTAGTTGACAATATACATACAGTATGTGGCAGCGACACCCTCAATATCTACCGCTGCCATCAGAATGTGACGTTTGTACTCATATAGATCTCATATAGCCATACACCTATAGATTATATCTGCAGATTTTCTATGGTCAGATGGAAAAAGTGCAACAGATTCCTCCATCTACGCTAACTGTGTGGATGGACAAATCTCCCGCTGGGCCAAGCTTCAGTATCTTGCTAGTCGGCCCCACTGGCTGTCAAAATACCTGAACAAGGCCTGCATCCAATCAGATTGTTCAGGGATTTTGACAGCCAGCGGGGCCGGCTAGCAAGATACTGAAGCTTGGCCCAGTGGGAGATTCCTCCATCCCCACAGTTTAGCGAAGATGGAGGAATCTGTTGCACTTTTTCTATCTGACCATAGAAAATCTGCAGATATAATCTATAGGTGTATGGCTATATGAGATCTATATGAGTACAAACGTCACATTCTGATGGCAGCGGTAGATATTGAGGGTGTCGCTGCCACATACTGTATGTATATTGTTAACTAAATGACACTTTTATAGTGTCCCTTTCTGCACCACCCGGATTTGCTCTTTTTCACTATATGATTTATACCTCATACTACTACACTACCATTAAATGAATGGTCACAGCGTTCACAGACCAGCACATGATGACATAGCACCCAGACCTGGTATAAGCTGGAACAAACTCATTTGCCTTTTTTGCATTTCAAGAGAGATTGTGATAACTATATAGAGAAAGTCGAAAATGTCAACTCAGGTTTCCCTGCTCAGTGGCAGGACAGGGAGGAGTGCATGTCTTTAGGTATCATAACTGAAATGATGCCTTGTATAACATGCCCAGACAGATGGGGGAATCTTATCATTTGGAAATAGGCTGTCAAAATTATAAATCCAACTGAGCTAAGCTGTCTCTTTTCATGACACCGCAGAGTGAAGGCCCGCGTGACAGTGAGAACAAAGTCATCTGAGGAGACAGGTCCTTTATAGCACACGCGAGACAAAAATATGAAACATGACATTCAGTCCTCCTACATCATCAATGCTTAAATGCTGAATAGACAAGGAGGGAAAATGCTGCAGGCTTAATTCTGTGTGATATAAATGGTAAAGTGCACCTGATTGTGATACTCAATTCCTGACTTGTGATTAAGATTTGACAGCAATGTCATATAGTTACCATCCGGTGGGTCCTCTAGCCTGTATACACACTGAAACAAACCTTCATCATAGTAATTATTGATATAAAAGATGGTTTGTGTGCAAAGTAACAACAGCAAATTGTGCAAATGAACATCAACAGTTATTAGCCATAGAGGTCCTAAAGTAGTACTCCATCTAAAATGTTTCCTTTTTGATTCTTGGATAGAGTGAGGAAGGGTTGCGAGCTTTGTCAGCTTTTCACCGATGCCTGGGTCCATGTTGGGGGAGATTTACTTACATTTACTGTCCCAAAGAAACAGTACAAAGAAAGAGGAAATATCCCCAATTTGAGGGGAATTTTTCACTTTTGACAGTTGTCCCCACTGCAAGATTTCCCCTCTATTCTTGTTCTGGAGTCAACTGTAAAAGTTTGGTCTCTGCTTACATTTATGGTGTCAGCAGGAAAGGACGTGAATATTAATCTCCTCACTGGGGACACAGACAACATAAAAGGCAGGACAGACATTTTAACTCTGCCCCACTGTATACACAACTAAAAAAAGGTTTTGGCTTTAGTTTTCCTGTAATTTCTTAAAGCTTTAAAGTACAACTAAAGTCCAAACTTTTTTTTTTCTTTGGATGGAGTGGAGAGGGATTAGAATACCTGTCAGGTTTTAATTGGGAGAGTAGGGAGATTCACCCTCTCTATTTGTTCTGGTGACTGTTATGGCTGAAAGTGAAAATAAAGGAAACATTTTGGGTTGTCATCAGAACAGGAATAGACAGGAAATCTTCTGGTCAACCTCATGAACACAAGGGATTTCCTCTCGCTTCCTGTTGTGGCTATTGGACACGAACTGAATGGGCATCGATGGCAAAAAAAAGCTGACATGGGTTATTCTCTCCTTACTCTAACCAAAACTATCCAAAAGTTTTGGTTTCAGTTCAAAAACGCAGTGAAAGAAATATAAACGTGTATATAAAATTACACCTACCCGCATGATAACTGAACCAATAAAAATGTATACACCTTTTTCCCATTATTCCTGCTCATGTGATAACTAAACCAATTAAAATTCTAAATTGTATCAAACTATATCCCATTTAAAAAGGATAGTAATATGGTACACTAAAAACCACACAAAAAGTTCACCCAAAAGTGATATTTTAGCCAGGCCACCTGAAAGTTAGATTTGACTTAAAAGTGAGATAAACATTCCATAAATCCCACCTCTGTTCCTGTACATGTGGGACTTCCATGAGTTCCTGGCCACCTTTGTGTATTCCAGCAATCCTTATATTTCCGGCCTCCCTCTAGGTAGAGCTGCCCATATTCACGCATTTACCTAGAGGGAGGACGGCTGGACGACATATGAGGTGATTGAATGCAGTTTGATATCCAGCTATCCTTCACCCCCTATCTCTCTTAACTGAAACTCCGTACCATCGTATGAGCTCTGACAGTTTGAAAATGAACAGAAGCCTGAGCTTTGCAGCTATGATCAAATGATCACCATTGCAATACTTTCTAGGCTTGAATCATTTTAGATTGTAAGCCCTCGCGGGCAGGGCACTCCTTCGCATCTTGTTTTGAATTGTATTGTGATTGTAATGTCTTCCTTATATTGTAAAGTACTGCGCAAACTGTTGGCGCCATATAAATACTGTATAATAATAATGCAAATTTTAAAGAAAAGGTGATGCTTAAGGTGAACTTATCCTTTACATATGACTTTATAGGATAAAAGTTTTTAAAGCCATGGCAGGTTCTTTTCCTGAAGACACAGCTTAACTTGGTTTGTGTTTCTCCCCGTACAGAGGCCAGTGTGGTTCAGACATCTCAATAATAT